AAACTTCATCAAACAATCCTCATCATATATAAGATAATGAGCCAGGGGGTTAAAACGTGAGAGAAGGGGTGTCAGCAACTGCTGTCTCTCTTCATCATACAGAGGGCAATGAAGTATTATATGGGAGGCAGACTCCACCTGTTCTAACAAACAGGAGCAAATTCTCTGATGCATGGGGGTCCGGGTATATCTACCATAAAGTACTGCTGAGGGTAAAACATCGAGCCGTGCTCTAGTAAATGCCCATCTATAGTTAGGGTTAGAGCCAGTCAAAAGAGTAAATGGTCAAATCAGAGTGGGTATGGACCATTTCCAATTGGAGATGAACTGGCAAAATAAGAACTCTGTCCATAAATATGCCAGGAGGGCAATTTCTCTTGTCCTGGCCTGCATAGCCTAGGCTAGCTTGATCTTGTCACATCTTGTCAGCCCTGGTTAGTATTTGGATGGGAGACCACCAAGAAAGTCCAGGGTCACTATGGAGAGGCAGGCAGTGGCAAACCATCTCTGAACATTTATTGCCTTGGAAACCCAGTGGGGTCACCATAAGTTGACTTGTTTCTTGACAAAAGTAACCTCTTCCCTCCCGGTCTCTGTTGAGCCCGTGCTTCCATATCTAATTCAGCAGCTTCATGGTGGAATCTCTCTTCGAAATGTTTTCTGCTGAAATATTGCAGCTTGACTGTTACTGAGTGTCCAGGGAGGCTTTAGTATTTTGGGAGAGCATCTGATATATGTCCAGTTATTCTCTTGCATAGACACAGTCCAGTCCAGTCCGTCCAATGTTAATGTCAGGAGGACACAACAGCATCCAAGGATGTACAAGTGAATGAACCCTTTTTATGGTATGTCTGAAATTGTTGGGTCCTTTGAGAATGTCATTTTGAATAGATATGGGGAAAGAACTGGCACTGGTATTATGTTAAGCAAAGGACAGTTCCCTGTATTTGTATCTGCATTGGGTGAGCCATTTTTACTAGTCAGGATTTGCTTCTAGTTGGGGGACATGTCTATAAACCAGAATGGACTTTGCTCATCCCACCCTGGCCCATGAGAGCAAAAGATAATCTTCTAGAAGAGGCTGCAGATCCTTTGTGGTGTGCTGGAGATGTTTCCAGGGTGCTGCATTCTGGTCCCTGCCACACGGCAGGGAAAACACCGGTCAAAGTGCGGCTAATTAGAGCCGCACCAAAATACAGACGATGCGGGCGGGATCCCACAATCAGATGCCGGGGAGGAAGAAACGAGTGGGAGGGGGAGGCTCCCGAACTGTGCATGTGTGAGCATGTGCAGTTCGGCCGGGGACCGGGGATGCGCCGGCAGCAAGACGCGCCGGCGATCCCACGGCCAGCCGTGATGCAGACCTACCGGATGAACCACCTAGGTAGGTGGTTCATGTTTGCTGCGGGGCTATCGGGGGAAGGGCCGGATCGGGAACGGGCCCGCAACACTTCCCAGATGTTGCGGTGGGATCGCGCCCGTTTGCTGCGCCCCCGATCCGGCCCACTCCTGGCCCAAAACCCCTCGTGTGGACAGGGCCTCTGTTAGTCCTCCATGAATCTTCCTGGATGTCCTTAGGCCAGCCACTTTTGCTTAGCTTAACCCAAGAAAACTTTGTAAGGGGGGGGGGGGAGGATAATCCAATATACATCACTGTGAATTCCTTGCAGGAAAGGTAATATAACAGTATGTATTATTGCCTCATGGCCTTCTGCAACTGGGACAGCCCTGATTTGCTATCATATCTAAGCATAAATTGAAGTGAAGGGAAATATTCCTGGTGCTCTAGACCATACCATGGTGGGGTAGTGCTCAGCCATGTCCCTGGGTAAGGCTTGAGAGTCAAAAGGGAATAAGTGCTACGGGTGATATAGAAGCATCTTTTTAAAATCCCTCAGTATTTTCAGAAAGAACTGTATTGAGATTTAAGCTTTACCTGTTAAACTGCAAACAATGCAACAATCAGTAGTAAAATCTGATTTTACACAACTGTGGAGGGGAGCTTTCAGGATGAATTCTTCCATGTTTAGTTTGACTTAAGCTGGCTTCAGATACAGCGCAGTTTGCAGAACAACACTTAACAGTTACACTCTTTTAAGTCCATTGGGTTTAAAAGGGTGTGACTGCTTAGGATTGTATTGCCAATGTCCCAGGAAGGAGGAGGAGAGGAGAAGGAGATTGGATTTATATCCCACACTTCACTACCCGAAGGAGTCTCAGAGCGGCTTACAATCTCCTTTCCCTTCACCTCCCAACAAACACCCTGTGAGGTAGGTGGGGCTGAGAGAGCTCTTCTGAGAATTGTCCTTGAGAGAGCAGCTCTGAAAGAACTTATGACTGATCCAAGGTCACACCAGCAGCTGCATGTGGAGGAGTGGGGAATCAAACCCGGTTCTCCCAGATTAGAGTCCGCGCTCCTAACCACTACACCAAACATTAGGGCCCTTGGGTTCACATGCTTTTTTCTCCTCGTGCTCCATGAGCATATTTACAGTACAGTCTTAAACAGAGTGCCATTCTTTAGCGGGGGTGTCGAACACAAGGCCCGGGGGCCGGAAGCAGCCCATCCAGGGTTGTTATGTGGCCCGCAGGCAACTGATGCAAGGGAGGGAACAGGAGGCTGCACAGGGGTGAGGTAGGTGGAACCACTCCAATTGTAGCTTTAGCACGGGGGGACAACCTCGTCTGCAGCAGTCAAGCAGAATCCCTTCACTTCAGGGATTGGTAAGTTGGGAACCACTGCAACTGCATTCACACCTCTCCACTTGGCCTGCAGCTCCAGGGATGCTGTCCTGGATGGTCACAGGGATGAGCGCTTGCACATGGGGTGTGTGTGAATACAATCCTCTGTTGGGGCATGGGAGCATCTGTTCAGCACTGCACTGCTGATTCTCCAGTCTACCGTCATGGGTTTTCCTCTCCACCCCCCTCCCAGCCCATGGGGCCTTGCAGTGAGGACACGCCAATTCAGAGCTTACCCGTTGTTGTCCTTTATAAAGTTTATATCTCCGGTACCTAGCATTACATTTTATGGCACACATGGCCCAGCCCAACAAAGTGACATTTATGCCAGATTCAGCCCTCGTAACAAATGAGTTCAACACATCTGCTTTAAAGCCTGTTAATAGTGTAACTCCACTTGGGACTGTGTAATGTGCTATCACTACCAACGTATGGTGAAATAATGACCTCCAAAATGTCCTGTCGTTAACAGACTTGTTCAGGTCTTGCAAAACTGAAGGCCATTACTTCCTTTATTGTGTCAATCCCTCTTGTGTTCGCTCTGCCTCTTTTCCTAGCATTATTGTCTTTTACAGTGAGTCTTCTCATGTTCCTTATAATCAAAACTATGCTTTATGGTTGCAAGGCTAAGCTAAGGACAAACTAAAGTAGGATATAACAGCAAAGGATGGTTTGTGCTAGATCAGAAGCCACTACCTGGCTCCAAGAATATGGGAGGGTTTGTGGGTTTGTTTTAGGCTTGCCAAGCCCCCCCTGGGGGCGGGGAACCCCCTGCCCCAGAGGCCCGTTTCCCGCCACTGGCGGATCGGGCCCCGGGGGGAACCCCACCCCAACGTGCGCGTCACCCGGAAGTGACATGACGATGATGGGCACGCTGGGGGCGGGGCCACGGTCATCCGAGGGAAAACTCTATGGTTTTATCTCGGATGGTCGTGGCCCCGCCGCCAGCGTGCCCGGCGTCGTCACGTCACTTCCGGGTGATGTACGTGCGGCGCATGCGCTCCAGCCGCTAGCGGGGAGTCCCCTGCTCCGGCGATATTTTGACTTGGCAACCCTAGTTTGTTTGCAGAATGCCAAACTACGTTTTGGTGTTATGTCTAAACTATGCCAAAGACTAACCACTTTAGTCATTGCATTTTCCAACAGTTAACTGATCAGATTTACTTTTGGCAAAGTATTATTTAAATGTCAAAGGGGTTTGAAAAAAAACAAAGAAACCTCTGTGCTGCTTGACTGGGGGAAACCACAGTCCCATTTTCCACTTTCAGCCCGCCTTCATCTGTAAAAGGAGCGATGGATGTGATCTCTGTGGGTCAATGTGTGGAGGAATTGGCTCACAACAACACCTGCTTTATACTATTTACCTTTGAACTTTGGAGAGTTATAGAGATAGTATTTAAGCATTTTGTAATGTTGGTTGTATGCAGGGGTCATTTCCTGCAGGAGCGCACAGGAGCGGAGCTCCGGCAGTAAAGAGCCCAGGGGGCGGGCACATGCAACAAGCCCCACCCCCTGCTCTCAGCAGCCCTCACTCAGAGCAAGAAGCAGCCAGGTAGGTTGCAGAGCTCCCCCCCGGTCCGAAACAGTCCAGTGGCACCTTTATTCAGGTTCAAGCTCTCCCTCCTCTGCGAGGACAGATCTGCACGTCCCCCCCCTCCAATAGTTAGGAATCCAAAACAGTCCAGTGGAGCCTGAGCAGTGGGTGTTGCCTTCTGACACACTTCCAGTGATGTCAGGGGGTGTGGCATATGCAAATGAGTTATGCTAATGAGTTATGCTAATGAGCTCCTGCACCTCTTTTTCTACAAGACAACCCCTGGTTGTATGAATGAACTAACCATCTAATAACAATGTGAGTGTAACATATATTTTTTTAAAGTTCAGATCTGTCCTGTGTATTTTTCAGTCCTCAAGAGCTATGTTTCACATAAATGTGCACCCTGATTTCTTACATTACAAAAAAGGCACAATTACTTGTTAGGTGTTGGGTAATCAAATTTCTAGTCAGTCTGGGGAAATCCAGATTCAATGTCCCACCTGTTGTGAAGCTCCCTGGGTAACCCTGGATCAGTCATTCTTTCTCAGCTTACCTCACAGGGTTGATGTGAGGATAAAAGGGAGGAAGGGAGATACTTCGCCCTGAGCTCCTTGGAGGAAGACTGGTATTTAAAAAGTGCTAACTATATAGAAATAAATTCACACACAATAAAACACTTGACAGTCTTTATGCAACATTACACAAACACATCAATGGAGGATAAAAATGCAGAAAGTAAATTAAGTTTCCGGTCGTGACCTTCAGCAGGTAGAGCACTATTTCAAAGAAGAAAATGGAGCCGGAATCAGAAGCATGTTTCGCTGGGATTCCAAAAACTGAACACTTTCTCGTACTGAAAAGTAAATGCAGCGTGGGACAAAACTGGAGTAAGCACTTTGAATAATTTTAAGAAACGTCTGTACATATTTAAAAACACCCCAGTTGCGGCTTACCAGCTGCTACCACCCTGGCATCTTCATGGGCACGATGCCTTCCGGCAGCACGACTGTCTGCGCTCTCATGCCACCAAAGCACATGAACTGCGAAAGCAAAGAGCAAAGCCAAGCTCAGTTTGGCGAGGGATGTGGCCGGACCCAGAAACCCCCAGGGAGCAACAGGCGTTCCCTTTGCCTGCAAGACTTTCAGCAGAAAGTCCTGATCATGTTTGAATAAGCAGGTCTTTGTTAGGTTCAGAACAGCAGCACCCAGTTTAGTGGTGGCCCAGAGTAAGGTTTAAATGCTTCCCCCAAACATGCAGTTCTCAGAATGCAGGGACAGTGCTTAATTTTCAACAAGAAAAATGGCTAGACCTCTGAGTAGAGTAGAAATTTTGTTGTTTGCTTGCGGCAGGGATTATTTCCAAGGCAAAGCTAGGTGTCGCAAGACTGCCGCCCCAAAGAAGCAGCCCCATGTTGAATCCCTTGCCTGCTCTCCTCCCCACAGTCTAGTTCAATTCACTCTCTGTCTAGACTAGCGATGCACATCAGTGAGGAAATGGCGGAACATCACGACAACTGTATTTGGGCCCATGTCTCAACAGGACTACCTCTCCCAAACTATGGTCTTCAGGTTGCTAACAACTTGGCTGTTCTTCCATTTAAGGTAGCCAGGCTTCCACCACATCCTGTGCTTTTACTCCTATGGAGTGGGATCCAGGAGGAGGTGGAAGGGGGTGCTACAAGACTGTTTGCTAGGGCTTTTACGGGTGAAGTCTGCAGGCATTTGCAGGGGGAAGAGGTTGAATTGTACTTTGTTTTAAAATTGGGAATTGTAAGCTGACTTGGAGCTGCGGTGGCTCAAGTGGTTAAGATGCTGAACTGCAGGCTGTGGAAGATCAGTAGTTCAGCAGTTCGAGACCCGGGTGCCGCATGATGGGGTGAGCTCCCGTCTCTAGTTCCAGCTCCTGCCAAGCTAGCAGTTCGAAAGCAAGAAATTGCAAGTAGATAAATAGGTACCACTTTGGTGGGAAGGTAACAGCATTCCGTGCGCCTTGGTGTTTAGTCATGCCGTCCACATGACCACGGAAACATCTTCGGACAGTGCTGGCTCTTCGGCTTGGAAACGGAGATGAGCACCGCAACCCTAGAGTCGGATTCGACTGGCTTTCCAGCAAGGGAACCTTTACCTTTAAGCTGACTTAACCCACAAAGGAAAAGCAAGGTGTAAATATTTTAATAAGTAAATACAGCACAGAGTATTAATTGTGCATAAAACTATTGACGCTACATTGCAAATGAATAAGGAAGCAATACAGTTGAACTGGATCTTGCAGGGGGGGAAATCAACACAGGGCTGCCATTTTTGGTGGCAGCTCTGAGTTCCATTTAATATCCAGTTCCTCCTCTAATGCTCTGGGACAAATTGCCGTTGCTAACTAGTAGGGGAAACTCACTCTTACCTTCTGTCTGTGCATGGCCAAAGATAGAGCGCTGCTAAATGGGAGTGATCAAAGAGGAGGGGAGGGACTGCAAAATCAAAGCCCACAATCTTGCTCAGAAAATGTTCTCTGTTTGCAAAACTGGAATGGATGCAGGCACTTAGCAGCTTCCCCCTCTGCAGTGAATGGGACCAGCATGCGCATCCGAGCACAGACATAATGATGGAACCAACCAATGGGGGAAAACAATCGAAAGCCATTCTGACTCAAAATGCAAAAGAACTGGTGCTGTACCTGTGTTAAGCAATCCATATTCCGTGTGGAAGACTCCAATCAGCTTAGCGTAGCTTGCCCTGACATGGGCATCTATTGCCGCTTTGAATGACTGTCCCCACAGTGCCGGCCCACCTGGTTTCTGCTGATAAGTAATCAACTCATAAACTCCTGGTAGTGGAAAAAAGGATCAGCATACGATAGAGTGTGCAATGCAAAATAATGTGGCTGAATGCTCAGAGTACACCGTGGCTTCTCAGATTTCATTTCCCTTTTGAGACTCTTGATGACCCCAAATTGTTCTGTGTGGTTCACGCACACACAAATGCTCGGCGTTATAATTTATTGACAAGTAACAAATGCATAATTGGCACAACTGAACTTGCACATCAGCTGCACCTCCTGATGTTTCTTTGCAGTAAAAAAGCAAAGGATGGAAATCATAAAGTCATCCACACTGGAGACCATGAAGAATGAAGGCTCGTATCTGTTTTAAATTTTATTGTCTTTATTAACATGATGTAACTCGCCCTGAGCCCGTTTACAGGATGGGTGGGATAGAAATGGGAAAAATAAATAAATAAAATAAAAATATCCCATCTTAGGAGAAGAAGGAGAAAGAAAGAAGAAGAGAAAAAGAAGAGTTGGGTTTTGTACCCTGTCCTTCACTACCTGAAGGAGTCTCAGAGCGGTTTACAATCTCCTTTCCCCTCCCCACAACAGACACCCTGTGAGGTAGGTGGGGCTGAGAGAGCTCTGAGAGAACTGTGACTGGCCCAAGGTCACCCAGGTGGCTGCATGTGGAGGAGCGGGGAATCAAATCTGGTTCTCCAGGTTAAAGTCCGCCGCTCTTAACCACTACACCACGCAGGCAGATCTAAGAATAAAGGGAGGTATTTTATCAAGAAGCAACTCACTATTACCCTGGGATGACACATGCCCCCACAGAGTCTTTGCCAAGGTCCATATGACAGGCGGGAGGTTGCTTCACTCTTCCCCTGCTTGCCAGTTCTTCCCTGGAAGGATCAGCCTTTTGACTGACTGGACTTACTCTCAGTCCCCAAGCCTGGCTGAGGGAAGAAAGGGTGGAAAAGGGCTCAGGAGAGGGGAGAGGATTTATCTTGCCCATTGACGGCGACCTCACACATTACAAATCGGTAACCTATATGAAACAAAGGTTGAGAAAATGGGGGGTAGGCGGGGGGCTTGTCCCTCTCCCCGCATACCATGGTCCTGATCTGAATGAGGCCCTGGCATATCTGGGAATTCAGCACAAAACTGCTGGCACACGTCTGATTTACAGGGCCAGTGGCAGACCCAAGGACCTCGTAATGTCTGAATGGGCCCTGATTCTGCATGCCAAATAACCCTACGTTTAGTACAAAGCAAAGGCAAATTTGGCAATCTGGTGTGTGTCTCATACTATGTATTTTCTCCTTGATGGTTTGCTGGGGGGGGGGGGTTGTTGGTTTTTAAACCCCTTATGCCGCTACCCTAGTCAGACTAAAATGAACAATTATTTGAGCAGAAAGATAACTCACCCTCTTTGGGAGGAGTCCCAAGCTCACACCATGGGACCAGGTAAGCTATTTCCATATCCATTTTTTTAAGCAGTGGTAGAATTGCAGAAAGATAACTCACCCTCTTTGGGAGGAGTCCCAAGCTCACACCATGGGACCAGGTAAGCTATTTCCATATCCATTTTTTTAAGCAGTGGTAGAATTGCAGAAAGATAACTCACCCTCTTTGGGAGGAGTCCCAAGCTCACACCATGGGACCAGGTAAGCTATTTCCATATCCATTGTTTTAAGCAGTGGTAGAATTGCAGAGAGTTTTCCCTGCCATTCTTTGTCACTGGCAATAGCTTTCCGCACAGCAGCTCTGTGGGCAAAATTATCTATGAGAAAGGCAAAGAAAGTTAGATGTTCCAAAGCCAGGCTGGATGGACCTACTGCTGACTTTGACGAGATTTCTGCAATGATAAATAAGGATTCCAAACAAATGGTCCTAGCAAGGGCAACATTCTGTGTTGTACACTGCTCCTGTGGTGATGCAGAATTAACTTGCAGAAGTGCCGCCTACTCTAAAGAATATCTGTAAGCCTAAAGGCAGAACTACCTGGCTCTTGTGTCCCAGCCAATATTCTGCTCTGGCGTGACCCAACCCTTTTCTCAATATAATAGTAAATTTAGTTAGTCCATTGTGGGAAATCAACCCGAGTCCCCAATATTCACTCCATAACAAAATGGCAGCGTGAAATATCAAGATTGGCTAGGCTTCATATAAATACAGAGGGCCTGGTCTTCTGTTATTGGCTGGTCAACAGAACCCGACTTTCTGAATGCTGGCTTAAGGCCCCAGCTGTGCCCATCGATTGGAGAATCTCAAGTCTGGATTTGGATATGGCTACCTCCTCAGCTTGGCCCGGGCTAATCCAATATATCCAGTTCTTGGAAACTCAGCAGGGTTGGCCCTGGTTAGTACTGGGATGGGAAACCACGCAGGAAAGCCAGGGTTGCTGTGCAGAGGCAGGCAATGGCAAACCGCCTCTGAATGTCCCTGGCCTTGGAAAGCCTACGGGGGTTGCCATAAGTTGGCTGGGACTCGACGGCCCTTTCAAGCACCACCTCAACTTGATTCTGTCGTGCACAATATGTCTTGTAAGCAAATCTCAGGCGAAGAGAGAAATATCTGACTGAAAGGCATCACACAGAAGTGTTCTTTATTTTAACTATTGTTAGTTTAAGCCAGGATTCCGCTCACAGATGTTTATGCACATCACGCGATGTGGCTGGGCACATGCAGGCGTCACTGCCTCCTCTCTGCGGCCTGGGAGCATGTTGGTGGGGGACAAGCCAGAATCATGCCGGGATGTCTGCATTCACACATCACGCAGAACAAGAATTAAGACCAGCTGCAGTTAATACACTGTCTTCAGGTTCTGGTTTGACAGACCTTAGCTGACACATGAAGCTGCCTTACTCTGAGTTAGACTATTGGTCTATCCAAGTCAGTATCATCTCCTCTGATGGTTAAAGACTCTCCAGGATATCTCAAGTGAAGATCTTTCACATCACTTAGTACCTGATCCCAGCTGGAGACGCTGGGGACTGAACCTGGGGTTTTCTACATGCAAAACAAACGCCCTGTTACTGAGTCACAGCCTCTAACCGTAGAGTGGTATTAAGGCAAGCCATAATTCTGCATGATGCCTGAGAGAAGCCACAGTTAGAACACTGTAATGTGATGCAGAGAATACCATATTTCCAGATGTGGAAGACCGTATTCATTGACCCCAGTTCTGCTGTCCAGAATCCAATCAACTCAGAGTGAGCCAAACGAAAGCGAATGTCCCTGTTGATCAGTTCCATGCATTCTTTGGTCTTGGCCGGCTTAATATCATAAGTCCGAAGTTCAAAGATTGTGCCAGTGTCCTGCTGGGGCCCTGTGCCAAAAGGTGAAGAAAGGACCCAGGGTAGAGTGGGCTTGAAAGAGAGAGAGAGAGGCAAAAACTGCAGTCAGAAAATGATTCACGGGTTTTGTTTCCGGGCTTGTGGTCATGCTATGAACTACTCAGACCAGTGAAAAATCCTCTATCAAGATTCGGTTTTAGTAAATGTTAACTTGATTTAATTCATTTAATGCTGATGATCTTATTGATTCTAATGAATTATTATAATATGTTTTAATGTGTACATCTGCATTCATTGCAGACATACATGTTGGTATCTGCCCTGAGCCTACTATTGGGGGGGGGGGCAGGATAAATAAATAAACTGTGTGTGAGCTTCATCGATTTTTTGGCTCCTGGGGGTATAATGATCCTGATCGGGGTTGGTTCCAGGTTTGGGGGGGCAGAGAGCACCCCGGCCCCCTCACCTCTGCTGCCCACCACCAGGCCCCCCCACTCGCATTCCCCATGGTTATAAAATCATGGAGAAACTTAGCGGTCAGTTCAATGATCTCCGGATCTCGTGAAGCAAGGAGGAATTGTACCTCAGTGTGTGGCTAGGGATGCCACTGCTGTTGCCACCAAAAGCACCACCCTCAAGCCCTTCTCCAATGAGGCAGGGTGGCTCATGTGACTGGGAGCGTGGATGGTGAGTGCTAAACAGATGGGGGGGGGAAGGCACACCAGAGGGGAGCAGGGCAGGCCTGGGGGCAAGGGGTCAGGGCCCCCACCAGAGGCCTTGTGCTCTGGTAACTGCCCCCCCCCTCAGGGTATGCTGACCCCGGCCCTGATCCTGCTTGACTGCAACCGAGTGATTCACGGATCAGTCTCCCACTGGAAATTAACACACAAATATGTTGAAACCTAAACACAGAGCAAATTCATGCATTTCCCTCGCTTCCCCCCTCAGCTCTTTAAAATGCCCACAGGTAACCACAGAAGCAGAGTCTTGCTAGGATTCTCATGCACAAAAAACAAAGTCTCTCTGCTCCCCCCACCCCCACCCCCCACATTGCTGGAATTCTTACTGCAAATGTGTCTGGAAAGTGAAGTTGGCTTGGGAACCTATACCAAACTGCAAAAAAACCTCTACATGCAAGTAGAACAGAGCCAAGGTCCAAGGAGTAGGGTGTGGGCCTCTGTTTCTGTGGTACTACTGAACCTGAGCAGGTGTGGACCTGATAGGTTCCTGAGATGGGAAACGTCCGGGAGCTCACTTACTCTCTCGCCATTCAGGGATGTGTGTACAGAACAGCAGATTTTAGACACAGAGCACCAACACTACCAGACAGTTAGAAGGGTTAAATACCCAGTAAAGTTGCAGGGGGTAGCTGTGTTGGTCTGCAGCAGAACGGTTAGATTCCAGTCCAGCAGCCCCTTAGGGACAAACAAGATTTTCAGGGTAGGAGCTTTTCAGAGTCAAAGTTCCCTTTGCCAGAACTTTAAAACTCTCAAAAGCTAATTGCCCCAAAATCTTGTTGGTCTCGAAGGTGCTACTGGACTGGAATCTAACTACGCCGACCTAAATCTGTACCCAGTAAAACAACCTTTGAGTCCAGTGGCACCTTTTAGATCAACAGAGTTTTATTCAAAGTACGAGTTTTCATGTGCAAGCACACTTCCTCCGATATATGTGTTGGAGGAAGTGTGCGTGCACACGAAAGCTCATAAACCTGGTCTAAAAGGTGCCACTGAACTCAAACTTTGTTCTACTGCTTGAGACCAACATGGTTACCCCACCTGGATCTATCCCCGGTAAAGTTAAAGCTGACTTATGGCCAGGGGTCATTTCCTGCAGGAGCGCACAGGAGCGGAGCTCCAGCAGTAAAGAGCCCAGGAGGCGGGCACATGCAACAAGTCCCACCCCCTGCTCCCAGCAGCCCTCAGTCAAAGCAAGAAGCAGCCATTCCTGCCGAAAAATAGCCCTGGACCTAAATCTGTACCCAGTAAAACAAACTTTGAGTCCAGTGGCACCTTTTAGATCAACAAAGTTTTATTCAAAGTATGAGTTTTCGTGTGCATGCAGACTTCCTACGGTATATGTGTTGGAGGAAGTGTGCGTGCACACAAAAGCTCATAAACCTGGTCTAAAAGGTGCCACTGAACTCAAACTTTGTTCTACTGCTTGAGACCAACATGGTTACCCCACCTGGATCTATCCCCAGTAAAGTTAAAGCTGACTTATGGCGACCCCGCAGGGTTTTCAAGGCAAGAGACATTCAGAAGTGGTTTCCTATTGCCTGACTCCACATCACAGCCATGTGTTGTTATATTTATGTACAAAAGCATAGATAAAATCTAAATAAGACCCAGAAGCCACATGTAAGTGCAGGATATAATAAGCAAGGTTCCCGCACCCCAAGTGTGCTAAAAATAGGGAACCGGTTGATGTTCTTCCCACAAGCAGGCACAAAGCCACATGCTGCCAAAGTCCTCAGGTTACAGCTAGTCTGAAGGAAGAAGTTCAGCACCTCAAAATGATAGCAAGTCGTGACTCAACATCTGCGGGGCTTATCCCAAGGGAAGCTGAAACGGGGCCAACATTTCATGGGTGTATTGACATCCTGCCCTTCTTCCAAGAAGCTCAGAGCAGCGAGCCTCATTCTTGCCTCCTTCATTTTTACCCTCAAAACAACCCTGTGAGTTAGGTTAGGCTTGAAGAGAGTGACTCGGCCAAAGCCACCCAATGAATTGACGTGGCATGGCCCCATGGGGATGCCAGCCTGGGTCTCCCCAGTCCTAGTCTGACCTTCTAACCTGGGGGCAGGAAACCCTGTTGGCCCAAGGGCCAGCCTCTCCCAGTGAAGAGGTTTGTGTGCCAGTCAACAACATGGATGAGGGCGAGGGCCGTACTTAGCCAGACATGCCAATCAAGCCTCGGAGGAACTGCCAGCATAGGGTTGCCAGCTCCGGGTTGGGAAATACCTGGAGATTTGGGGGGTGGAGCCTGAAGAGGGTGGGGTTTGGGAAAGAGAGGGACTTCAATGGGGTATGGTGCCACAGAGTTCACCTTCCAAAGTGGCCATTTTCTCCAACTGAACTGATCTCTCTGGCCTGGAGATCAACTGTAAAAGCGGGAGGGCTCCAGCTGCTACCTGGAGGCTGGCAGCCAGTGTTCCCTCTAAGCTGTGGAGTCTTGTGAGCAAAAATTCTACTCTGTGAGCTACTGGCTTTAAAGTTGTGAGCAAGCCATTTGGCTACTGCATAAATTAGTTTGCTCTGGAGCCATCCTTCCTGAGCTAGGACAAAAATGTGTGCGCCGGAGGCTAAAAAACCGTGAGCTAGCTCACACTAACTCAGCTTAGAGGGAACACTGCGGTTATGCCAGGATCTTGGGGCTTTGTCTGGGACCCGGCTGGGGGCTGTTAAGGACTGAAAGGCAATGAGGGGCATAAGCCACGCCCCTTGCCTTCTCTCGCTCCGCTGGCCCTAGGCGTGCTGCCAAGGCCTGGGCTTTGACCCTGCCGCGGACCACGTGAAATCGTCGAGTCATGCGCCGCTTCTGTCGCGCGTGCCAGAGATCGCCTGCGCCCGGTCCGCTCCCTACACCACGCCTGGCCCTGGGCACACTGTTCAAGCCCATGACAGCATGCTAACATAATAAAGTGAAGGGAGAAATGGAACAGCGTTTTCGTTTTTTGGAAATGGAAGCCTGGATAAACTTTCCAGACCACCAACAGCCTTGGGGGTAGTGGGAAGAGTCGCTTTCCCTGTTGATGAAAGTCCAGACCCACCCCCCCCCCCGTTCTGTGCCTTTAACTGCAATCTGACCTGCAGAAAGCCGCCAGTGAAGCGCTTCCTCTGGCATGGGGCTTCTCAAGGGCTAATCTCTCTGCACACCACACATTGGGGGAAAGAGACCGGGCCTGTCAAAAACAAACTATCGGCAACCCTGGAAAAGGAAGACATCCGGTCGGAGAAAGCCAGCGGTGATCGGAGTCCTACAATGAGTGCCTGGTTTCCCCGGAGAATCCCCGCGCCCACCCCCGCCTTGGCAGAGCTCCTGCGGCTTTAAGAGCCACGCGACAGCCCGGCCGGAGTCTGTACCCGTTGGCTTTCCGCCTTGCCGCACCCTTCTTAAGCAGGAGAACCCTGCCTGGCGGCGGGAGGGCACGTCGCTAGCGTCAACTCGCCCAGCAAGTCCCTTGAACAGCAAGTCCCGTATATATATAGCAGTTAGAAAGGACTGTTTCTCGCATAGTGGAGGAGAGAGAGGCTTGATCCCCGTTGCCTGCTCTGCAGCAGGCAGTAGCGCGAAGGAAGAGCTACCATGACGGCTTCTGATGTTGGCAATGTCATTCGCACCGTCGCTACCCAAGAGACAATCACTCCTCCTGCCTCTCCTTTCCCCCCAGGCATTACCTGGTGGAGGATTTTGCACAGTGCGGCCCTGCGAGCGAAGGCTGTGAAAGACCCCAGCATCACGACAGCAGCGAAGGAGCCGCACAGCTGGCGGCGGCGAAGCAAATAACTGGTCTAGGACTACCTGCCC